ATGTTAAAATTGATTCAGAAGGAACAAAAAATGTGAATCATTCCCGTCAATTTCGCTAAAACCTTTTGTCACCTTACGACATCCAGCCGCGGATCTTGGACATTTGCATTTCCATGCATAATTTTTTTTTCGGGTCCTTTTGGGTCCCTATTCTGTATAATTGAAGTAAATGAAACACTAAAGCCTGATTTCACAAAAAAACGTTTCATGAAATATTTGGCCTATAGATTTCATTTCACTTAATTTATTGCTTTCTATAATGGCACAAGATCAAAAACAACATTAGGGTTATCAAATTAATCATTGTGTAGCTTAACCTTTACCTTGATTACAGTTTGCTTTTAAATCGATTCAAAATAAATTGCTGAAGAAATATGACATGTTTGAACTGGATACGTCGAATACTTGTATTGAGATTATTATAATTTTTTAGATGTCACAGTTACATGACAACCTCTACAAATTAAGTTCGAAGTGTGTGTGCAATAGAATTTCATCTTTGGTACGGATAGTTTAGCTACATAAAATACCTATTGAAAGTTTAATAGTACAGAAATTATTTCAGATTTCATCACTGTTAATTATGTCAACAATTAGGAAGGAATCACGTAAATTTTTCAACTTTCTGCCAACGGACTGGTCAGTAAACATTTGGGTGAGCGGACAACTTTTAATGTTTACGTAATAACTCAACACTGATAGATATGCTGTAAACACTATTGAGTTAAAAAAAAGCTGTAACTAAATCTTCACCGGCAGAATGATCTATTATAAGAAAACAGTTCTTTGTGCGGTGGACTTAATACTACTACGTCGAAAGTTCGGCGATATTTTCATTTTTTACAAAAGTGCTGTAAATTTTATCTTTTATTTAGGAAAATTCCATCCTAATTCGGAACAGTACCTGCTCAGTATTTTTTAATTTCGTTGTATTCTTACAACATATAGTGACGAGTGCTGAATGGTAACACTCACTTCATCTGTGTTGTCTGTTCCTACCGTAACCTATGATTCTAGGCAATTCAGTATAATAATTCTTGGGTTAACATATTTAATATTAAAAAAAATTGGTAACAGTTTAATGCATTAATTAAGAATAGAATTGGCGTAGATAGAAAGGGGAAAGAGGGAGTGCCGCCTAGAAACCTCATTGCCCTCCCCCCCTGGAAAAATCTCTGATAGGTCATGACGTTAGCACAAAGTTTAAAAACATAGAAACCAAGTAAATTAAACCTATCCTTTTTAAACCTAATAACCCCATGAGCTAAACATTTTAACCTTCGTGCGTACTTGATCATCCCATTACAGCATATGCTTTCTCACAAATACTGGACAATGTTACTATTTTTTAATAAATTACAGCTATTGAATATCCGCCCTTTCCTAGGAAAAATCTCTAGCTACGCTCATGAGCATCGGCCGAGCATAGTGGACATACGTAGATTTTTGTCTTATAACAGGTAATTCTGCCTGATGAAGTTTAGGCATTTCCTAAAAAGACATGTAAGATTAATATTCAGGCCAACAACGTTTTGGTATAACATCATGTCCTTTATTTTTCCGACTGTACATTTTTGTTGCAGATAGTCACAAGGCTCATTTCATATTTTGTTATTCTACTACAATTTACAACTGCAGAACAAAATGCAAATAGGGATGGTTTTTAAGTTGGGCAATTTATAAAAGAAAAGGTTGAACGTTCTGACATACATACATACGTGTACAATTCAATAAAATTTTCATATTTATATGTATACATGGGGGAACGGCAAATCAGTTAATTGTTTAGATTTTATCTAATAATTTCCTTGCAAATGTATTAATTGATGTGAAGGTTTTTTCAGAAAAGATAATAGTCCTCTAGTCATAGTATAACAGGTTGCATTTTTTTGAGTTAAAGTGAAATAAAATTGGCGTGTTACCTCAGGAAGAGCACCCACCGAAGAAGCGTGGCGTCAAAAGAGGGATGATTTTGACATGACAGTGGCGTGACATAACTCTTTCTCAACGCACACAGTATTATAATGTCACTGTTAAAGATGTATTAGATTCAGTAAATTCACTCAATATGAATGATAACTGTCCAAAATAAAGACACTGAATACATCGTTTCTGGAAAACCAAAGAAACACACAGTGCATATAATCCTCTTTTCCAAATCTTTTCTTGCACATTCCTATTTGAATATTAGTCACATATGTGATCATAAATACAGGGATTTGCTTCAATCATTGAAACAAATGAATATTGAAATTTGTATCAACTTTTATATTTGGTTAATCAAAAACAAAGTGAAGTAACACATAAGTGGCATGACAAGAAAATAGAGCAACCATTACATTAATTGTAGTAGTATTACGTGCTACAAGCTACAACTGGTATGTTGTTTGCTACGTTCATTCAGTGAGTGTTGATTTTTGAATTTGAAGTAACATCCCTAGATGCACGCTACTTGCGGTGAGCACTTCGCTTTAGAGATACAGAGAAATACATTTGGTAAAATGGCATATACAAATATGTAACTTTAAGCCAGTGTTGAAGTGAGAAATGAGTAGTTTTGTGTTTAAGATTTATTTCCTAGAAAAAAAGATGGTATTAAGGTGATTATCGAAGTTTTATTTCTGCAACGTGCTTTTCTTTTGTATCTGATAGATTTTATAGAAGTAGAAGTTGATAGTATTCAGTATTGTAACATTTTATTGATGAAACTAGGTGCACTTGCATTAATTAGAGATCGGTGTTGTTATTTACATCAAATGTTCATAAGTTGTTTAAGTTTGATATAGCAGGAGGTAGAAAATAAAAATATGTTGCACAAAAATGTTTTTTAAATTGATTTCTTATAGTATCATGGTTTAGTAAGCAATCATATCGTAAAAATGTCACACAGAGTCACTAAGTAATGATTTTATGCAAATTGCAGCTTAGGCAATACAATTATTCTCAAAAATATAAACCGTTAATGCAAATTATTTGGATATATTTATGTTTTGGGTTCCTTATTATAAATTTGTAAAGTTCAGTCTTCAATTATAGAGTACGGTACAAGATTGGGTATGAAGGTTGACGATATATAATATAAGACTCTATAAAAAAGGTCATTGCTGTGTAAATTTTCAAATATAATTCAGTTGGGTGGCTAAAATATTAAATGCCATTTTAAATGGTTTTATTGCTTTACATGGATACTTGATCCATGACCAACAACGACAGTTTCATACGGTCATCATGATTTTCTTGTGGTATAATTTCGGTTTTCAGGGCTTCATAGTAGGAAAGCTTCTTCTAATGAAAGGAAGTGTGAAAACAAAAATTAAATTAGTGTGAAAACACCCCATTTGGGGCAATTAGGCCAGTATAGCCCAGATCTAGCTCCCTGTGACTTTGCTCTTTTTCCGGTCATTAAGGATCAGTTGAAATGGAGGAGGATTCAAACAGATCCTGAACTTTTAGATGCTTGGAATCAGGTCTATTCAGACCTTCCAGTAAAAAAGTGAAAGGACATTTTTGATTATTGGTATTTACGTATTATTGACAATAAGTGCATAAGCCGTGGTGGAAATTATTTTAGATGAGTGTAAAAGTAAAAGCTGTATTGTAGAACTTATCTAATGACCTATGTAGTGCGAGAAGTACTTTAAAATACAATGTGCTCTTACCGCCATATAACCAAAATGTATTTAAAAACTTTTTAAAGGTAGTTTTAAAAACTGTAATATCCATTTTTAGCAAATACTATTCATATTATGTAACAGGACATTCATAAAGTGTTTACTATAAATAAGTCCTGTGGGTGCATGTACAAATTTTATTGGATACCGCATCGAAACGAAAGTGTTTCTGTTTGTTAAATTCTCCAAGTAAGGTCCATACTTTAAAATAAAATGTAACGATTTTGACCCATACTAATTTTATGCCGATGGTAACTTTTTATTAAATTTAATTCAGAGCCGGGCAAACTTCGTACTCCGTAGGAGCTGCTACCTGAGGGTAGTTTCGGGTCACTCCATACCCTTCAATGAGTACGAGAGAATAAGCAAAGACCCATATTGCTTTCTCCTTTTCTTCTCCCTTTCACCCCCATAGCAAACCCCTCCACTCCTCCCGTAGCTCAGGGGTAGCGTGCCGGACTATGGTCGCAATACTATTGGGTTCGGCTACGGAAAAAGGGACTTATCTACGAAATGGAACGTATAAGAAAAGGAAATAATTATCTCACTCGCAGGAGCAGGAGCAATGGGGAGCTCCTCGGCTATACCCGAGGAACCGAGCGGCATGACCTAGAGCAGAGCCGGGCAAATTCGGCTCTTTTGACTACCGAGTGCTCCTCAGGTATAGCCAAGGAGTTCAACATTGCGAGTGCGAGTGCAAGTGAGATGATTCTTTCCTTTTCTTATCCCTTTCATTTCGTAGGTGAGTTCCCTCTTCCATAGCCGAACCCAATAGTATAGACTGTAGTCCGGCATGCTACCCCTGACCTGGGGACGATCATTAGAAAATATTCGTAGGTATTATTAAGTTGCGAGAGAGGCTTCGCTCCTTTACGGGATGGAGGTGCTTGATATGGGAGTGGAAGGGAGAAGAAAAAGAGAAAGCAGTATGGGTCATTACTGCTTACTCTCTCGTACTCATTGAAGGGTATGGAGTGAAGTTAAAGTTTGTCCAGTTCTAACCTAAAGGTTTAGTCTATTGCTTAGAATTCGGGAGGTTGCTGATTCGATTCGGGGTCCGTCTGCCTTGGTCCTAGTTTTCTGTGGTTTCCTTGGATCACATAGGCAAATGCTGGGGCAGTAATATTCCATAGATAATCTGTCACTCTCTTCTTTCATTATTTCATCCGTCTCATCTTTCTCACTCGAACCACCACCCACCCATTCCCACGATTCCTGAAAGGAGGCTGAAAAGGGCTTTCCGCCCTACTTTCCGGCATAGTCCGGAGGGAGTGCCCGCCCATCAGCATTAGTGACTGGTGGGAATGAAACACCCAAAAGTTTTTTTTTCTATACGTATAAAATTATTTTGATGAAGTTGGTTGATGCAATAAAAGTAAAGAAGTGTATAAAAACGTATTGTGAACGCGATAGATGAAAATATTATAATGAACTGCAGTTCACAATTGGTTCCGATTAAAAACTGGTACACTGCACCTTTTCGCACCTGTGGCGGTAAATCAGCAACGTGGAAAATGAAACGTTTGCGAGGCAATAAATAATTTTAACGGTTATTTACACGAAATGAATATTTAAAATGGCCGTGCCGGGGAATTTACTTCGTCCGATCTCCGATGTGGAAATTCGTTTCACGGCATGGGAGATTAGGTTTTTATTTTACTTGACGCAATGACGTCGAGTTGCTGTACCGTCGCTTACAGCCGTATTAATGTATGCTTAAAACAAAGTTTGGGCGAATGCAAGCTCGTGATTGTGTTCACAGGAATGTGCATTTAAGAAAGCAAAACAGTTTGCTTCATTTGGAAAAACTGCATTAACATTTAAATTAGGGTCAAATGTGTATTTTATTCGCAAAGAATCGAACATTAACACTGAATTAAATAGAAGATTAGTATTCGATTGCTTAATTATTTTTTGAATAATTAATTTTTCAATTTTTTCAAATGCTCTTCGACTTAATTCAAATCAATATTTGCATGATAATATATATTTCAACACCAAGCGGCGTGGGCTAGCTGTACAATTGTGAGGACATTCTTAACACTATCTTAACAAATTTATTGTTTGGAAATTCGTGTGCGTCTAGCTTTTTGATGCGATCATCTAGAAAAACTTTATTAGTTTTAGTTTGTCTTGTTAACAATTTTTTAAAATTATATGAAACACTTTGTATTGTAACGTAAATTCCAGATTGAAAATCTATCAATTAGAACTCAAGGTCATTGGTAGGCAATTGATGTATAATTAGGAGGGAATTCGACATACGGAAAATTTTAATCCTTAATTAAAAACAGGTATATGGGAGGGAACTAGACATTATCCATCTCGCGCACCCCCACACAGTGGTATATATGAACGCGACGGTGATGACCATACCGAATGATAACCAGGATTAACTTGTGTAATTGTGTAACGCGACGTTGCAACATGAGGTGGTGGAGTTCCTTTTCTAATCCTATCAGGGCCGGACTGGCGTTTCCCTGCACTTTCACATATGGTTTTCTTGAAAACGGTGGACTTTCGTACCATAAAAAATTTACTTAATTTTCTTGTTATATAGTGCCCATCACCTCCTGCAAGTTTACTACTTATTTTAAATACATGCTATATAGAAACTCATATTATTAAGGTCATTTAAAACAGTCAAGTCAATCCGAATCATGTTTGGAAGGTTTTTCAATATACTCTTTAGACACTGCAAACAAATATAAAATGGAATAGAAATTATCAATTAAGAAATTCTTTCGAAGCTACTGGTTTAAAAGAGACGATATATATCTGCAAACTGCAATGATATGAATTAATTGAGTTACGACACGAATTTTTTAACGCATAATTATAATCTACGCATATAAATTATTTATTTTTTTTTATGACCGATGCATAATAAACAGTATAAAAGGTGTAAGGTGTAGGTACGTAGATATGCATTTACATACTTATAATTAACAGGAAGTACACACGAAATGATGATAATATTGGAGTGATAATTACAAGGTAAAAAATTAAATTAACATAATTAAACACTTTAGCAATAATCTAATTAAAAATGTTCCTTTTGGGTAGAACAAAATTAAAGAGTTCTACTGATGAAACCTTTAATAAAAACTTCATATAAATTTTTATGAAGTTTTGCAAATTAGCTTAAAAATTTCCAGAGCTGCCCACTACATTTATAAGTAAAATCCACTTTTGGAAATTATTAATTAGATAAGGAAACTTTGACAAAAAGTAACGTAATAGTAAGTTTAATCTTTTTCAAATTCATTCTTGTAATGTAACTCGAGAGGCTCAATATATTTGAGATTTTATTTCCGTTCATTTAAAAACCGGAAGTGATTTTCCTTGTTTGTTTTTCTATGAGGTAGTGTTAGACAGAAGCACGATACCGTAGCTACGTAGTTTACGATTTTTCTTTTACTTTTTTCAATATTATCTATCTGACAAAAAGTTTTATATGATACGTGGTTTAATTATTTCATTCTCGTTTTGAAATCAGATGTTTTCTGGCAAAATTAATCTGAGCTTAAAATTGTATTAATGCTTTATTTAAAATTGAGGGTTTAGCTAATATTTCTACAGATTTTGAAAAGCACAGCCAGTTGGATTTGTTTTTTGGCTTTTTTCAGCCATATTCACATTTATAAACGTACTTCTATATAATTAATGGTATTAATTATGCTACTAATTTAAAAATTTTATTCAAAATAAATATGGTTTTCATACTCAACAAAAATTGCTTCTCGTAGTTCATGACATCTTTAGTTTAATCTGTTTCTACTTGATAATATTTCTTGAAGTTTTCGCATTGAAACGTCGAAAATTTAAAATAAATGAGCCACAAGAAATACTATTCCGCTATTAGTTGATTATTTAAAAAACAACGACAATTTTGTTTCAAATGATTCAAATCTAGATCTCGATAAAAATCAAATTGGACTAGATTATACTAGTTCTCTTTCATTATTTGAAATGTATAAGGGGGCGTCCAGGGGGGAGGGATCAAGCCGAATCTCACTTAATTTCACGTGGGGAGGAGGGTCTCGGGAAATATCAGGTAATTTTGAAGTTAAACTTCTTTACGCACGCTAGGGTAAGTTCGTTTCATGCGAGTTGCTATGTAACGAAATCATGCAACGCATTTCCCCGTTGTCTGTCCTTATGTATACTTAGATCTATAAAACTACGCAACGGATTTTAAAGCAGTTTTTTTTAAAAGATAGAGTAATTCAAGAGGAAGGTTTATATGTATAATACATGCATAATATAGTAGGGAAACACTGATAATTTTAGAGGTTTGTAATGTGATCTCGTAAATAAACACATTTTTTTTACCAAAAGAAACTATGTACAATGTTGCTATAAACTGGACTCAATTAAGTTAAGTACGTTTCTCCACTATTAATGGAGTTAAAATACACAATAACATTTATCGCAGATATGCGAACGCAAGCATCAACAGTACGATTATTTAGATTTTATTTGAGAGGGGGGTCGAAATACCGCCACTGAAAAGCATTTAGTTTTATTTATTTATCTATTATTAAGTAAAAAGTATTAATTAAGGGACATTCTCATTTATTTCGTTTGTATTTCATTGTATTATTTAGAATAAATGATATATAATTAAATATTTCAATAGTTGGCATAATAAATCGGCAAAACGCTGCGGTGTCTACAAATGTTTGGAAGTGAAATTACTTCGCAAACTGTAATAATTGAGGACGAACTAGGAGCTGCTAATTTAGGTTACAATGCAATTAAGTTGCCTTTCATTACGACTTTCGGGACATGAACCTTAAAGGGCGGAATGCCTTTATAATTGGTTAAGTAGTACGGGTGCGAACCTCTGCACTTGATGAAGGTGTTTCGTAAATTAACTTGATGTCAGAAGATTTAGAACTTTGATGCATCTCATCCGGATTGTTCACGAACGCCTGAAGGTACACTAAACTTTGAACTAACCTATGGGTACATAAAGTTTCTTCTATCAAAAATGGAATGACCNGTAATCGAAGCTGTAAATGGTTATTTTGAGGAGCTTGACGAATCAGTCTATAGAGATGGCATTAATAGACTGGAACACCGCTATGAGAAATGTATCAGCCTTGGAGGAGATTATGTTGAGAAATAAAAAAAAAAAATTTTTAAAAACCTTGTTTTTCTTGGTCAGGCCGGAAACTTATCAATCCACCCTCGTATAGTTGGGAAACACTGATAATTTTAGAGGTTTGTAATGTGATCTCGTAAATAAACACATTTTTTTTACCAAAAGAAACTATGTACAATGTTGCTATAAACTGGACTCAATTAAGTTAAGTACGTTTCTCCACTATTAATGGAGTTAAAATACACAATAACATTTATCGCAGATATGCGAACGCAAGCATCAACAGTACGATTGTTTAGATTTTATTTGAGAGGGGGGTCGAAATACCGCCACTGAAAAGCATTTAGTTTTATTTATTTATCTATTATTAAGTAAAAAGTATTAATTAAGGGACATTCTCATTTATTTCGTTTGTATTTCATTGTATTATTTAGAATAAATGATATATAATTAAATATTTCAATAGTTGGCATAATAAATCGGCAAAACGCTGCGGTGTCTACAAATGTTTGGAAGTGAAATTACTTCGCAAACTGTAATAATTGAGGACGAACTAGGAGCTGCTAATTTAGGTTACAATGCAATTAAGTTGCCTTTCATTACGACTTTCGGGACATGAACCTTAAAGGGCGGAATGCCTTTATAATTGGTTAAGTAGTACGGGTGCGAACCTCTGCACTTGATGAAGGTGTTTCGTAAATTAACTTGATGTCAGAAGATTTAGAACTTTGATGCATCTCATCCGGATTGTTCACGAACGCCTGAAGGTACACTAAACTTTGAACTAACCTATGGGTACATAAAGTTTCTTCTATCAAAAATGGAATGACCTTGGGGAAAATTCAACTTTGCGCGTTAACATCATTGATGCAATTCGGGCTGGTATATGAATGGTAATGGTACAGAATTGCAAGAGTGCATGCCAAAAAGTAAAACGTTAAGACTTAATTATTTAATGTGATTAATGTAATAATTTAATGCATCTACACCAAGCCGTCCTGCTTTCAGCAGCAAACCAAATGAATTCCCTGAACCAAATAAGGCAGGTGTTGGATGAAGTCAATTATTTTCGAATAATCACTTTCATCAATTTTTTCTCCTATGTGAATAAATTCAAACACTTTGAAACTTTTAAAAGTGTATTTTACAAGAAAGAACCATGAATATTTACAATTATAACTGGTTGCTTTCAGGGAGATTGTTGCACTGAATTCTTAATAATAAAAGGATAATAATTGCACCTCTGATTTCCCTACCAACTACAATTTTAACAATAGAAATATAACCGGTAACAAATACCTAAGTTGTTGATATAAAGAACTATATACATATATAAATCTAACTACCGATGGTACATTTAACTGTCGGTACTTCCAAATATACTTTTAATGGGGTGGGTTCAATTGTCCCTTTGTGTACAAACATTCCACAACCAGGTAAATATACAAGTCACTGGCACCATGATAAGCACTGAACAGCAGGTCTGCGTATCCTTCGAAAATCGTGGCGCGTCCTTCTCCTCTACCCATTTATTAGAATAATGCGGTCAATTTACGGGATACAGTTTGGTTTGGTGTGTTTCACAACTATATGTTTAGCATATCCCTAACATGTTCCAGATTTTTGCGAGTTGCTTATAGTATATTAGTTAGTTTATTAAAAAAAATTCTTCATCGACATCTTTTGCGGGACAAATAAGAGAAGAATTGTAGAAATAAGTGTGTATATTTTTGAAAAAAATTCATAGCTTCTATGTAAAAAAAGTTTAGAAAAATAAAAAAGTGTCAAGTGATGCTTTAAAAATGAAAAACAAAAATTGGAGGGCCAAACTCAATGCATTAGTAAATCAATTTTTCAAATTAATTTTACCTACCACAGATAACGTCAAATTAATGAGGAAAAATTGTTGGTGCTGTCACTCCCTCGCCGGGAATCGAACCCGGACCCCTCTTATTACGCACCAGTACTTCACCACTAAGCTACGTTGTGGGTAAAGTTGATTCACTAATGCATTGAGTTTGGCGCTGCAGAAGTGTCTCATTACTAATGTGCGTAAAAGCGGCGGCCCGGGTTCGATTCCCGGCGAGGAAGTGACAGCAGCAACAATTTTTCCT